TATCTCAACTCTGCTCAGGATGCTACAGTGGGGGATGGTGCTGGGCTCCAGGCTGTCCAGGGCTTCTGCCACCAGCACCTTGGGAGCTCCACTACTGTGTACTGGTCTGTATTTTCACAGAGTGTGCACTGGTCTGATGGTGCCAGGTGTGCTGGTGGGCTCAGGTTGCTGGGCCCTAGCAGCTCCCACTGGCTCCTCCCAGGGAAGACCCAGGATTTTCTGAAATTGTGGGACCTCCCAGCGGTGCAGGGAGAAGTGCCCTGAAGGGCCGCTTACTGAGGTAGCTGGCTGCTCCAGTCCACAGCACTGGAACTTTCTGCTCTGTTGCTCTGCTCTGCTCAGGTTTGGTTTTCCATCTTCAAGTCTACTCACTTGTTTCCATTTTTTAATTCCTAGGCAGAAATATAGATTTCCCTCTATTTTCTCTTTATATTTTAATAATAATATTTTATTGTTATTTAAAATCTATCTCTTTATATTTTAATAATAATATTTTATTGTTATTTAAAATCTATCACCATATAGTTAGGTAAATGAATAGTTTCATTAAAATATCTATTCAGAAAGTTTCTGCAGAGTAAAAGCATTTGATATGGGCATCTAGGAACTTATGAGGGTATTACTTAATGAATCAATAACTAATTTATTTATTTACTTTTGACACATCTTTTTTTTTTAAAAACTTTTTAAACATAGAATTTGGAAGAATGATACAGTAAATACTCATATTCTTCTATCTAGATTAAACAATTATCAACATATTGCCACATTAAAATTTATCCCAATTTATATGTACACATATATATAATACACTTTCTTGCTAAAACATTTATACTCACTGGGTAATATCATAACACTTTAATAATTTTTCAACAAATATTGAAACGTTTAAAGAATATTTTCTTTATAACCACATACTATTTTTTTTTATCCTCACCTGAGGACATTTTTTTGATATTTTGTTTAGATAGAGTTGGAGGGAGAGAGAGAGAGAAACATCGACGTGAAAGGGTTGCCACCCACATGACCCAACCATGGCTGGGGACAAACTACAACTGAGGTACGTGCTCTTAGTGGGAACCAAACCTGGGTCTCTCTGGACCACAGGCTGACACTCTAACCGCTGAGCCAAACTGGCCAGGGCTAACCACGTACTATTATTATAGATCTCTTATTTTTTGAGATGGCATGGAAGGACCTGGAGAGTGTTATGCTAAGCAAAACAAGCCAAGCAGAGAAAGACAAATATCACACGATTTTAGTTATTTGTGGAATATACTGAACTAAACAAACTGCTGAACAAAATTAACCCAGAAACATAGAGGTGGGGTACAGAATGACAAGCCTCAGAACAGGGGGGCTTGGGGGTGAAGAGATAAACCACAGAACTTACATGCATGTATGCATGACCAATGAACATAGACAACAAAGCTGGGAATGGGGCGGGGGAGAAGGGGAGGAGAGTGTCAATGGGGGAAAAATGAGAAACATCTATAACAAAAAGAAATTAATAAATAAAAAAATAATGAGAAAAAATCAATAAAGAAAAAATATTTAAAAAATAATAAAAGAAAACTAACATTTTCATAATAACTTCTAATGTTCAATACATATTAAAATTATTCTAATGGCCTCCAAAATGTTATTTATAACTATATATCTGAGCCAGAGTCCCACCAAAGTTGGCATTGAATTTTATTTTATATCCCCTTTGTCTGTTTTAATCTAGATCAGCCTCTGGCCACTTAAAAGAATGAAATTTATTGGAATGACATTAATTAATAAAATTATATAGGTTTCAAGTGTACAATTCTATGATATTTCATCTGTGTATTGTATTTTTAAAATGATAATAACTTTAGAAGAGTCCAGGCCTATTGGTTTGTTAAATGCCCTATGCTTTTTGTGGCCATACAGAATACTGAAAAAAAAATCTTGATTTTCTTACTCTAGAATATCTTTTACATTATTGGCTGATGTTTTAGGTATCACTATAAACTCATAGCTATCTTATTTAACATGTTGTAATCATTTACAGTAATTTTCCTTGATGTTCAATTCATACAGATTTGGGCAGTGGGGGTCCACAGAGAATTTCTTTTATGTAAAACTGCTCTAGATTTAGATCTTGCCTAGATCATGTTCTGAGGATGAAATAATACAGCTTGTATAAATACATGTTACAAAATGTGCAGTAGAAATATACACCTGTTACCACAGACTACATTGTAAAATGTAGCTATTCTAATCATAGAGTTCTGATTTTTCTCTGAGGAAACTTGTGTTCTTTTTTTTTTTTTTAATGTAAGCTCTGTGAAATCACGAACTAGATCTGTTGTGATGGGAATGCAGCACATGATGAATGATTAAAATATAGTTTTTGAGTGAATAAATTAGTAAGCCTTTAGAAATGAAGAGTGAAGAAATTGAGGCATGTAAGTAGGGAAACCAGTTGCTCTAATTGCCTGTATCTTGGGATGTAAAACTTTGGTACTAAAACCAGAAAAGTCTTGGGAAATGGAATTAATTGTTTATACTATTTGCAGGTATTTGAACATTATTTTCCTCTCGCTATATTGAGAAAGCCATTTGAGTTTTTCTTATTAAATATCTTCAACTTGAGAAACACCTTTGCAGAAAAGTGACTGAAGTGGAGGGCTTAATCCAAAGCAGCTGAAGAAGTGGGTCATAGTTTCTTGAATATTTTAGGAGTGAGTTGAGCATGCCATGTGGCCCCGAAAATTCCAATTATCCAGCAGCTAAATGTCAAATATTTTCTGCATACTCTCTCTCACAATGGTGCCATGAAGAGTTACTTGAAACAAACATGAAAAAGTAATTTCTATACTCTTTCTCATTTTCCAGGAGTCAAGATAATCTGCTTTAGCTGTTCATTGTAAGTTTTCCTGAAAAGGGAGGTGTAAAAATATAGTGTTAAAAAGTGCAAGACCTATACACTGAAAACTATAAAACATTGTCAAAAGGAATAAAAGAACATAAAGAAATAAACAACTCATGTTCATGAATCAGAAGACCTAATATAGTTAAGGTGGCAATACCCTCATTGATCTATAAATTTAACACAATCATTATTAATATCTCAGTTAAATATTTCTCAGAAATTTACAAGCACATCTTAAAATTCATATGGAACTTCAAGGAATCACAGACTAGCTGAAAGAGTCTTGAAAAAGAACAAATTTTTAGTGTTAGTTCCCCAATTTCAAACTTGTTCCAAAGCTACAGTAATGAAGATAGATGATGGAAGAGAATCAAAGGTCCAGAAATAAACCCATATATTTATGGTGAATTAATTTTGACAAGATGTCAAGGCAATTCATTGGGGGAAAGAACAATCTTTTAAATAAATGATGGGGAAACTGAATATCCATATGTAAAAAAATGTGCACACATCATATTCAATACGTCATGTCATTTAAAAAATTCCGAATAAATCATATACTTAAATGTAATAACTAAAACTATAAAAGTCTTGGAAAAAAACATATGTGTAAATCTCTGTGATCTTGTGTTAAGCAATTCTTTTTTGGACATGACACCAAAGCACAAGTGAATAAAAAATAGTTAAATTAGACTTCACCCAAATTAATAACTTTTGTCTATCTATGGACACTATTGAGAGTAAAAGTCAAACCATGGAATGGAAAAAATATTGTAAAATGATGTAGTTGACAAGAGACTTGTATTCAGACATATATAGCATTCTTGCAACTTATCAACGAAAGACAAATGACTCAAAGTTTGGTAAAGGATTTGACCAGCTATTTCCCTAAAGAAGATATGCAAATAGATAATAACCACACGAAAAGATGCTCAGTATCTTTAGACATTAGGGAATACAACTAAAAAGCATAATGGAAAATGACTTCATCCACCCTAAGGTATAAGAAAGACAAATATTAACAAGTTTGGGAGGGATGTGGAGGACATTGGAACTCTCATATATTTTGGTGTTGCTCCTAGGGGCAATGGGAAACCATTTACAAGATTTTACGCAAGTTGGTATTTGATCAAATTTTTGTTTTGAGACTATAACTCTGAATTTTATGGGGAAAACTATTGGAGGAGGGAGAAGAGTAAATGGGGGTGATTCATTAGTCAAATATTGCAACCTAGGCAAGGAAAGATGTCAGCTGAAATTAGGGAGAAGCCGATAGAGACTTTGTCAATATGACCAATTTATGAGCTACTGAAAAGGAAATTGTAGCTTGATTTATCAATGGATTGGTTTGAGGTGAAACAGGGTAGGGACAGAATAATGTTAAACATGCTTCAGGTCCCTCATGTTCCAGGTGCAAGGAAATGCAGAAAGAGATGGGAAATCCTAAAAAGGATTAGGTTGGTGAAAGAATGATGAACTTATGTATGGCCATATTGGGCTGTTTCTGAGATATAGAAGTAGAGTTATGAAGTAAGCAATTGGAAAGTAGTGGTCTGGAGCTCTTAGGTAATTTAGTGCTAGAGAAAAATATTTGGCCATTATTTCTGCAAGATACATAGAGTCTTTGTGAAAAAGATTTTCTATGAGGAGGGTATAAATTAGAATAGAAATGTTTCCAGAATCAAGACAGAAAACATAGTTGAAATATAAAAAAGATAAATAAAGCTCAAGTAGAGAGATAGCAAGAATTCCAGGGGTTGCTGAGACATAGGAGTTAAGAACACAAGAGGAGTATTTAAAATGGAGGCAGGAATCACAGGATCTAATTTTGCTAAGAGGACCAAAAGATATTTGTCATTGGAGGTCACTGGAGGCTTAAGAGAGAAGTCTTTTGGTGGAATAATGAAGATAAAATACATTTTTTGAGTGTGTAGAGGAAGAGAGAGAAGAATCAAATATATAATATTAGTAATTTATAGTGAGAGATTTAGCATGTGGCAATTAAAGTAGAAAGAATGTTGTTGAGAACACAAGACTGATTACAACAGAGATTGTAAAAGCAATAATATAAATTTATTGAAAAATCATGAGGGTTAGAAACAGAGTGCAGGTGGAAGGATTAACTTTAAAAGTAGGACGCATGTTTTGTCTGTGGTAGTAAGGTGGAATAAGGAGAGAATGAACCAGATGTCAAATAGCTGGTGTTTTTGAGAGTACAAAGTTGACCTTGATTCATCCTGCTTACTTGTATTTTCTATGTGAAGAAGTTAGTAGGAACATCTGCTGGGAAAAGAAAAGAGTTAGAAGGACAAAACCTTAGAAGGGTACAGAGTTTGGGAAGTAGCAGTTGCAGAGGGTGAACAAGAAAGTGGAAGAGAGAACTGCAGAAGTTTTGCCAGGCAGTGTGGTGGGCATATTGAAGTTGGGGGAAATTGAAGAGGCTGAAGTCCTTACACGATTTATATGAACCTCATGAGTCTCACTTTTTTCATCCACAAAAGGAAACATAATACTTACCTTCAAGTGCAGATGTGAAGAACATGTGAACAAAAAATATACAAAAAGGTTTGTAAACCCAAACATAAAAATACTTGTTGGAATTCACACTGCCAGGATCTCTCCTCTGTACGCTGTAATTATTCTCCTGACTTTCCCATGTGGGTATGTACTGATAATATCAAGAATAACTACAGGCTTTTAAGGAAAGTAAAATCCAACTTAATACTTATTTCACTTAAGGTTTATGACTTATACCATGTATTTATTGTTTTTTTACATAGAGGGTACCATGGAATAACTAGGGATAAAGGACGGTGCTGTGACTATGCAGTTTGAGAATCACAGCTTCAGATCATTAGTTCCTGCTTTTTGAGCTGACCATAGCTTCTGTCTCTGTTTATGAAGAAGTGTTTTGGAAGTGTTTTGTATCTTCTCACCAAACAAACAAACAAACAAACAAAAAACAAACAACAAAAAAACCCAAACAAACAAACAAAAAACCAACACATGTACCATGTCATACAAAGTAGGCATTCCACATGTATGGAGAATTAGAAGATAGTCATGTGCCAGGGTCAAGATGAGCACAGAAACACAGTGAGTAAAAGTAGAGGAAGACCTCCATTCATAACACAAAAATGTCTTTGAGTGAGTCTAGGAGTAAACCAAGTGTAGCTTATCTTAGGGCATTTACTACTATATACCCAAGTTGTCTAGTGTGATGAGCATGGAAGTTCAGTGGGATCAGTTAGTGAAGTGTTCTGGTAACAATGCATGATCTTACCACATTGTATTCAGGGGCATCTGACATGGCCCTGCTAGAGAGTGTGTACTTCTCAGAGTTGGCTTTGGTTTTCTTGAACCCTTTCAACCTTTCCTGTATTGCTCCCGGACCTGCAGGGGCAAAGCAAGATCTGAGTCAGCTCACTAAAGGAGTGAGAATAGAATGAGTCCTGGGTGGGAGTTGGGCAGTAATACCTGCTGGCTGAGGAGACAGTACACCAGGAAGATGAAGACACCCTGCAGGCTGTTGATGATGGTGAAGAGATAGGCCATGGCCTGGGCAGCTGGACCCACCTGCAGGATTCCCAGACACCATGTGCAGCCCAAGATGAAGAGTTGAGCTATTGCCTTAAATGTCAGCATCCTGGGTAGGAGGAGAAGAGAGGCCTATGGTGCATCCTGAGCAACAGAATTAAGGTCATTCTTATTTCTGCTCCACGGATGTACATGACTGATCAACTTTGATCTTTACTTTCAATGATTCTCATGGGGAAAAAGGGGAGACATCAGTATTACTTTCAACAATAAAAAAATTACTCCCTAAAAAGAAATGCTATTTGGGTTCAGGAAGAAAATATGACTTGGACTGAGGATGATAGTGGCACTCTAAAATGTGGGTTTCAAAAATATCATGGTGCATCATGAATGTCCAAAATTTATTCAACTGACATTACTGAGGACTTCTATGCCGCCAACTCTGTGCTGAGTCCTGGACATCAGAAACAACAAAGATAAAATTTCTGTTTTCATGACCTTACAGTCTCATGGAAAGATTAAAGCAAATGGTCAGTTATAATATTTGTTATATGTGATGTACTGCTGCTTGGGTTCCATCCAGCAGTGATCCTATCTTCTTGCTCCCCATGAAATGACTCCAAGCATGGTTTGGCCAGATTCACTTTGTGCAAAGTTTAGGAAAGCAAAGGACACCCCTAGTCTTTAGTAAGTTGTGATATGTGGATAAAGAACTTGATATTACCAGGTGTAAGGGTGGAGAGGGAAGATGGCAGAACATCCATGAAGGTGTGGGCATCAATGTGCATGCTGGGTTCTGGGAACAGTTATGTGATTTCCTATTTTTTTCATAAAGACCTAACCATTATTTGGACATTTTTCATAGGATCCATGGAAGTAATTCATGTTCAACAGAACAAAATCAATTCTCTCTGTAGCTGAAATAGTTTCATGCTGGAATTATGGAGAAACAAAATATTTTTGACTTGGGTTTCAGCAGCAAACCACAGTATCTGAGCTGGTTTCCAGGGAGTTTGGCTGCACCTCTCTCCTCCTGGCCCCTCAAAATCCCCATGAAAGGACATCAGAAGCTTGGAACCATAGGGCATTTCTCCTGGACCATGCTTTGTATGGGCAGTTGTGCCCCTCTGATCCATCTCACCTCATGTTCTGGAGGGTAGACATATCACTGTTGAGCATGGAGAGCTTGTTTTTCAAAATCCAGAAGGTCATCAAAAAGAAAACCAAGTTAATCTGTGGAAACCCCACAAAACACATTGAATACATTCCATATCTGCCGAATCTTCCTCCTAGCTCATCCAACACCTAATCGAGTAGGTAAGAAACTTTTGTATTTTACAGTCATAGAAAAACAGACCCAAGACCAAGTAACTCAGGCACCTTCCTGTCCTGTAACTGAAGTGACAAACTCATCCCATTTTTCATGGGAATTTCCAAGTTTTAGCACTGAAAGTCCAATATCTCAGAAATCCTGCCTGAAATTGTGCCTCCCACAAGAAAACGGAATGATTTCTCACTTTGCCTGTAACCCTCTTATTTTTTTTTTTTTTATGAAAAAGATTTTTAATACTTAAAAAGTTATATAACAAAAGGTAACACATTCTTTTAAAAATGTATACAAAACACTAATATAAAATTTATTTTAGCATGAGATAAAAGCAAAACATAATATTCTGTGGAATATACCAATTTTTGGCCAATTTATTCACATCTGGCGATGTGAATGTTCACCTGGACGTGATAACGTCGCTGAGCAGACGGAGAAACACTGCCGCGCTCGCCTGCGCTGGCTCTGAGGGCGTCTGACGTGCGTCAATGAACACAGGACTGCACCTTTCCACACAGAGGACCGGGCCTGACTGGGAAGAACACTTTACCTAGGACTTTTGTCTTGATTTCTAGAACACAGGAATAGGTTTTCCTTAGGCATTAGTCTTTGAAATGTCTACTAAACAAAACAAGCTCACTTCAGAGAGCAAATGCCACCTTCTAACTTATTATGTACATTTTTAATACTATGATCACATTCTTATTTACAGCAATGTAGTTTCTCCTGTCTCCCTAACCTAGGTTAATCATCATTTTTTAAACAAAATTTGTCAACATTTGTGTCCAATTGACTGTAGGCAGGATGAAATAAACATATCCAGACAGTTCTTTACAAAGACACAACAGAACTTGAACTATTACCCTTTAAAACAGTGAAAATGACAGGCCACTTGCCTTCTAATTTCCATTTAGAAATTTGTAAATACAGCACACTTCTTTTAATGCTTGGTGCTGCACATTTATGCCATGCTGTATGGGGATTCCCGGGGAAGTGACCTCACTGGCTGTAGTCATGATTTGAAAAGCACAGGTAGGGGGCCTAGCTCAATCACAAGAGGAAAGCTTCTTTCTCTCTTCAAACTGCTTGTCCACTGCCAGAGACAGGGCCTGGAGGAAACCCTCGATGGTGACGGTGGGAGCCTGAATGTACAGCGCATGAGCCAGAAAAGGGAGTTTTCTTAGGACACGGCCGCTGAGGCCCTCACTCTTCCTTGAAATTTCACTCAAAAGGAGGCTCAACTTTGACACGTTGTTTTCAATGAAGCCAATCATCTCCAGCTCGCGGAGGGTCAGCAGCTGCTGGCGAGGGTATATGATCTGACACTTCATCAGTTCTTCCAAACAAGAAAGGTAGATTTTGAAGATGGCTGCCACAGAGGGTGGTCCAATATACTGCCTGATGTCAGCCCTGTCCACAAAGGCCACGTCAATCCTCTCTGTGATGTTGGAAGTAGTCAGTATCACCACGTTGGAGTGCCTTTTAATTTGATCGATTTGGGTCAAGACAGCATTGACCACACGGATGGCATCTGAAGGCTCAGTGCCTGCCCTACAGGCATTGCGGGAAGCTGTGAGGCTCTCCACCTCATCGATCAGCACGAACACCAGAGCATCTTTGTCATCAATTAGATCCTGGATCTTCTGGAACATCTTAGTTACTAGCTTGCCACTTTCTGAAAACCACTTAGAAAAGAGGCTATGGCTGTTTATTTCAATTAACTGGCCATACCGGTACCTGCTTGAAAGTCGAATGGTCAATTTCTGGGCAAGGGCTCTACACAGGGATGTTTTCCCAGTTCCTGGAGGACCGTGAAGCAGCACTACCCGGTTCCAGGTGATGAGATTGCTGTCAACATTCCTGTCTGAAAACAGTAGCGCAGTCATCACATAATCGAGGAGATGAGATTTAACTTCTACATCATACACCAGGCTGTCCCACAGCCCATGGAATTCAGCTGCAGGCAGAACCCAGTGATTTGCAGCAATTATATTTTCTGTCTCTTCTTCCAAATTTTCACTGGTGGGGCCATCTTCATTCAGGTGGAAGATGTGAAGTGCAATAGTGCACATACTCAAATTGATGGGCTGTGAGTCTTTAACCTTTAATTCTGTGTCAACAATAGACACAGACTGCACATTTCTGGTCAGAAAAGGTTCATCAAACTCAGTCCATGTGTAATCACCAAACACAATATTATGTCTGTAAAGCAGCTTTTTAACACTCTGCTTTATATCTTCTTTTTTTGCTGCCGCTTCGCTGGTGCACCTCCACATGGACGGTCGGCGTCTCGGCCACGCAGGACAGCGCCTGCTTCAGGTCGCCCACGGCCTGGTCCATGGCGCCGCCGCCGCCGCCAGGAGCAGCGAGTACCAGACCCGATCGTGGCCGCCGCCTGACGCCGGGCGCCTCCACCACTTCCACCACCGCCTCCGCCAGAGCCGCTTCAAGGCCCGCCGGCCCTTCCCACGCTTTGAATCGCCTGTAACCCTCTTAATACACTTGCTCTTTGAATGACCCTCAGTCGGTCAGGAAGGATGCTCTGATGTCATCCATTACTCACAGAGAAGATGGTGCATGCGGGGCCAAGAAAGGTCCATATAAATCCTTTCTGTATGTGGAGCCAGCACCTAAGAGGGAGAGACAGAAGAATCTATTTGCTTTTGTGGATAAAGAATCAATAAATAAGCATATCCCTCACTTCCCATAGTTTCTTCCTGACTCCATTATTATTATTATTATTATTATTATTATTGCTTTTTTTTTGGTAAGAAAGTTTAACTTGAGATCCACCCTCTTAGTAAATTATAAGTATACAATACAATAGTGTTAACTATAAACACTATAAATCTATGTATGTTATATAGATCTCCCAAACTTATTTATCTTTCATAGTTAAATTTCTTTATTCTCTCAATAGTGGTGATGGTTTCATGGATGTACACTTATCCTCAAACTCACCAGACCGTATATATTAAATATGTACAGCTTTTTACACATCAATAACACCTTAATAAAGTGGTTTTTAAATTTTTATATTCTTTTTAAAAGAGCTGTGTTAAGTCTTGGGCCCCAGAAATGCTTGCAGAAATAAATATAAGCTCTTACAAGAGTTGACAAATAAGTTAATTTATGGTTAATAGAAACAGAAGCATAGATACATAGAACAGAGTGATAGCTGTCAGAGGGGAGCAGGGTTGGTAGGCTGAGTGAAAAAAGGTAAATAGATTAAGATATATATATATATGACACACAGACATGGACAACAGTATGGTGATAGCAAGAGGGAAAAGGGGTTGGGGGAGGTGGAAGTAGGCAAAGGGAGGATAAATGGGGATGGAAAGAGACTTTAGGCAATAAGTGCACAATACAGTATGCAGATGATGTTTTATTCAGTTGTACACTTGAAAGCTGTATGGTTTTATTAAGCAATGTCACCTCAATAAATTCAATTAAAATTTATAATTTATTGGAAAAATATTGTGTCTTCTCTGTATCAGGACATCTGCTTGGCCTGAACATCCAATTGCAATTAAGACAGACTTGTCTCAGTTCTCAGGGAGGCCCCAGCTGGGTGGGAAGTTCACCAATAAGTATAGACACAATCAAGATGATAAGTTTTATGATCAAGTATGAGAACATGTAGTTAAATCCATAGCCTAGCCTGGGGTATAGGAGATTCAGGTAGTTGTGAAGGGTCCCTAATATAACTGACTGTGTATATTCAGAGATGTGAAGGATGAGCTGGTGTATTGAAGGTGAAAAAAATTGGGGACATACATGCAAAGTGACAGGAAAAAAAGATGATAACAGTAACCTGACACACTGCTAAGGGGGGGGGGGGCTCATGTGCATTACATAATTTATTCTCCATGACAACATATGGACTCAAATAATCACAGGTCAGGCATCTGATGCTTAAAGAAACACAGTCAGTAAGTCAAGGCCACACTGATAGATGTGATAGAATTGGAATTTGATCCCAAGTCAGATGTTTGTGAATAAATTGGGAGGTGTGAGGATCATGGAGTTAGATGGATCTACCAGAAGACTCAAAATAAACACTACTAAGGCACTGCTTATAAACTGCACCCCATGAGCCAAGTTGGGCCACCACCTGATTTTGTAAATGTGTTTTACTGGAACAGGGTTACACTAATTTTCTTATATATTGTCTATGGCTGCTTTTGTGTTACCAGGGATAGATAAGTACTTGCAACATAGATTATATGGCTGCAAAGCTAAAAAGATTTAGTGTTTTTCTGACTTTTATGCTAAGCTATGTAGGAAGGCCAGCTGGCCAGACTTTGTCTAATGGAGGTGAACATTTATTTTATCAGTGTAAGAGTATGTTGTGAGTGCCAGCTTGGGTTTGATTTCAGCTCTGCCAACAACCAGCTGAGCTGTGTGGTCATGGTCAGTCATCTCTGTGCCTCAGTTTCCTCATCTATAAAGCTCACAGTTCAGAGTTTCTACCTCAAAAGTTTGTTGGTAAAGTGTTTAGGTTCATACATAAAAAATATTTAAAACAGTGATTGTATTTCAGAAATTATAAATATTAGTTTGTAAAAGCTAGTTTTATTTATAATATTAGTTTGAGTGATAATTATTTCATCATTGAAATCATCCTCCATTTCTTTTAGAATTAGAAGTGGGTTACACAAACCAATACCATCCCTTCATTTTAATTTTGCTTTCTAGAAGGTTTAAAACAGTCCCCCTCAGTGGGGCAATGAGTAAAAAAGTAAAAAGGAATATAGTAAATATTATTGTGGTAAGTTTGCATGGTGACAAATGATCAGAATTAGCAGAGTGATCATATTGTAAGGTATAAAAATGCCAAATCACAATATTGCATACTTGAAACTATTGTAACTAATATAACATTGTATAGCAATTATACTTAAATAAACAACAGCAAAAAACCAAGTCCTATCATATATGCAGTATGATATTCAAATACATTTACTAATTATAAGATGCAATTAATATTAGAGTAATAAGCAATTATATATAATATAATATATAATTAATATTTAAAATAATTAAATCTAAAAGATAAAAAATAGGTAGCTCAATTGTTTTAATCATATATTAATTTATAATCATTAATATTCTATTAGTATATGGTTAATATTATACACAATACTATATGAATACATAATTATTAACATACTATATAATTAACATTTAAGATAATTAAATCTCTAGGATATATAAATGGCTACTTTGAACATAATATTCCACCAGGAAGATGTATTTGCAATGATTATTGACTTTTTCTCTGATTATCATATTCTTGTGAAATTAAAGTGCTATGTTGGTTCTATGCTGGCCATGGTCATATGGAGAAGATAAGAACAGTGGGAATTCGCATTTACTGGGCAGGTGTTCCATAAAGGTGAGGCCTGGAAGCTGCAGAAATAGCCACAATCACAGCCGGGACTCCATAGCCCACAGGGAACATGAACTTTCTCATAAACCTTCTTACCCTGGAGTAGTTGACCACCATCAGGTTGCGTGCTGTGAGGAAGAGGTTCAGGCCCTCCAACAGCATCCAAGTGAAGGAGGCCAGGTAGAGATAGTGTAAGGCACCTGCGATGATGGCACATAGCACCTGGGGATAGAGTGAGTTACCAGGAAGCATTGTCTGGGTGAAGTATGGCCTATAAATTGGAGAGACCTCTGTTCATAAAGAAATTATCAAGAGAGGGTATGTTTTCTTGTTGCATCAGTTAATGTGAAATTGGCTACTCACCCCTCTAACCTTCCCAGAACCCAAGGGCATTTTATTACGGTGTCCAATGCAGTATGACCCCATGGACTCCACATCCTGTGATCAGGGCGTATGTCCTTTGAGACAGAGTCAGTACCTTAGGCTCAGTTCTGTCGATGGCCGTGAGGAAGAGCAGGTGGGCCAGGAAGAGGCAGAGCGAGAGCTGCAGGTGCAGTGAGGTGCTGATGTTCTGGATGGCTTTGCACAGCAGGAAAGTGAGGGCTGCCAGGAGGAGGCACAGCAGAGAGAGGCTCAGCCCCACATACGTGATCACAGCCAGGGCAGGATCCTCTTCCTGTGACCCGGCAAACAAGCAAATAAAAATAATGCCAAATGTGGGCAAAATAAAGCAATTGGAACTCTTGCACACTTCTGGGTGATAATGTAATAGGTAACATCTGAAATGGAGTTTGGTAGTTTCTTATAAAGTTAAATATGCAATTACTATATGACCCAATACTTCCATTTCTGAGTATTTATCCAAGAGAAATGAAAACAATGTTCATAAAAAAAGTTTGAGAATGTTCATAGCAGTTTTATTCATAAAAGCCCAGAAGGGAAACAATGCAAATGTCCATGTATTAGAGAACAGATAAACAAATTGTAGGGTAGTCATACATTGGCATGTTCTAATGCATTAAAAAGAATAAAGTATGGTTATGGACAATATAGCAAGAGAGAATCTCATATACATTATATTGAACAAAAGAAGCCAGACATGAAAGAGAGTGGTCTTAATCTACTGAATGATTCTAAAATGGCCAAAAGTAAACTATGATGATACAAATCAGATCCTGGGGGTTGGGAATGAGAGCACCAACTGAGATAGTAATAAGAAACATTCTGAGGTTATAGAAAGGGACTATGCTTTAATTAGGGTTGTGGTTAAAGGGTGTTAACTATTATCAAACTCATGAACTGTATTTTTATTGAAAATATATTGTATCTCAATAAAGTAAATTAAAAAATGAACTCATTATTTGCAACCAAGACTACTTTACCCAGCAAGGCCATCATTTAGAATTGAAGGTGAAATAAAGAGCCTGACAAGAAAAAGCTAAAGGAGTTTGTTACTACCAAACCAGTATTGCAAGAAATGTTAAAGGGCCTGCCAGAGGAGGAGGAGGAAGAAGAAGAAGTAAAAGAAGAAAAAGAAGAAGAAGAAGAAGAAGAAGAAGAAGAAGAAGAAGAAGAAGAAGAAGAAGAAGAGAAGAGGAGGAGAGGAGGAGAGGAGGGAGAGGGAGGAGAGGGAGAAGGAGAAGGAGAAGGAGAAGGAGAAGGAGAAGGAGAAGGAGAAGGAGGGAGAGCAGGGAGAGGAGGGAGAGGAAGGAGAAGGAGAAGGAGGGAGAGGAAGGAGAAAGAGAAGGAGAAGGAGAAGGAAAAGAATAAGAGGAGGAAGAAGTAGAAGGAGGATGTGGAGGAGGAGGAGGAGGAGGAGGAGAAGAAGAAGAAGAAGAAGAAGAAGAAGAAGAAGAAGAAGAAAAGAAAGAGAGATTTAAAAGAATAAATGCAATAAATATGAAACTATCAATAACCACTTTAAATGTAAATGACTTAAAGGCTCCAATCAAAAGATGTAGAGTAGCTGAATGGATAAGAAAACAAAACCCATGTATATGCTTTCTATAAGAAACCCACCTCCAAACACAAGGTACACACAGACTAAAAGTAAATAAATGGAAAAGATATATCATGGAAATGGAAAGGAATAATAAGCTGGGGTAGAAATACTTTTGTCTGACAAAATAGACTTTTAAACAAAAGCTAGAGTAAGAGACAAAGAAGGACACTACATACTGATAAAGGGAGTAATCCAACAAGAATATATAACCCTTGTAAATATTTATGTACCTAACATAGGAGCACCTAAACATGTAAAGTGAATCTTGATGGACATAAAGGGAGATATTGACAGTAATACAGTCATAGTAGGGAATTTTAACATCCTATTAAAATTAATGGATAGATTTTCCAGGCAGAAAATCAACAAGAAAATGGTGGTGGTTTTAAATGACACACTGGATCAGATAGATTTAATTGATATCTTCAGAGCATTTCATCCCAAAGTTGCAGAAAATACATTCTTTTCAAGTGCACATAGAACATCTTATAGGATTGACTACATGTTAGGACACAAAGCAAGTCTCAATGAATTTAAGAATATTGAAATCATATGAAATATATTCCCTGATCATAATGGTATAAAACTAGAAATCAGTCACAAGAAAAAAAATTAAAAAACACACAAAGACATGGAGGCTAAATAACACATTAATAAAAAATAAATGGGTTAACAATGAGATGAAAAAAGAAATAAAAAAATCACCTGGAAACAAATAAAAAGGGGAACATAACAATCCGAAATCTATGAGATACAATGAAAGCAGTCCTAAGAGGGAAATTCATAGCATTCAAGCTTATCTCAAGAAACAAGAAAAATCTCAAATAAACTATCTAACTTTGCACTTAAAGGAACTTGAAAAAGAACAACCAACAGATCCCACAGTGAGTTGAAGGAAGGAAATAATAAAGATTTTAGGAACAGTAAACAAAATAGTGTCTAAAAAAATATGATCATGGAACCAAGAGCTGGTTTTTTTGAAAGATAAACAGGATTGATTAACCTTTAACCAGACTCATCAAGAAAAAAAGAAAGAGGTACCAAATATAAAATCAGAAATGAAAGGGGAGAAATAATAACTGGCGCCAAAGAAATACAAAGACATGTAAGAAAATATTATGAAGATATATGCCAACACGTTGGACAATCTGGAAGAAATGAATAAATTCCTAAAAACATACAATGTTCCAAAACCAAATCAGAAAGAATCAGATAATCTAAATAGACAGATTACAACCAATGAAATTGAAGCAGGAATAAAAAAACCACCAAAACAAAAGTCCTAGACTGGATAGCTTCACAGGTTAATTTTATTAAACATTTAGTGAAGATCTAACACCTATCCTTCTCAAACTATTTCAAAAAATTCAAGAGTAGCGAAGACTCCAAAGCTCATTTTACGAAGCCAGCATTATCCTAATTCCAAAAGCAGATAAAGACACTATGAAGAAATAAAATTATAGGACAATATCCCTGATGAATATAGATGCTAAAATCCTCAACAAAATATTAGCAATGCATTAAAAAGACCATAAACCATGACCAAGTGAGACTTATTCTGGAAATGCAATATTGGTACAATGTCCACAAATCAATAAATGTGATAGATCACATAAATAAAATGAAGGATAAAACCAACATGATTAGGAGATTTAAAATGGTGGAGTAAATGGAAGCTACACAGACTGTCTACCAGGATCAAACTGGAATTACAACTAAAATAAAGACAAGTCACTGGAGAGAACCCGTATAACCAGGGACATAAAGAGGACTCTAAATTGAACCTGGTAGGAACTGTAGAGGTGTGAGAGGGCTGGTGGGGTGCCCACAGGCAGCAACTGAGGGCTGTCTTAGCTGTGAGCAGTTCCCTCTGAGAAATTGGGGGTTAAAACCCCAAGCTGGTTTCCTAGCACAGACTGGCAGCTTCCCAGCTCAGAGTGGTGGAACAGGAAAAGTCTCCCACATAACACCTGGCTGAGAAAATCACCAGAGCAGAGGTTTTGTCCAGCAGGGAGAGGCACTGGAAACAGTGGCACTTTTCTGAAAAAACCAGTGCACTAAATCAGCTACAGCCATTCACCTTGGACTCTGGCAAAGGGAGGGTGGACTGCTCTGGAATGGTGTGAAGAAAGTTGGGGGTTGGAAGCTGGCATCAGGCAGAACCAGAGGGAGGGTGAGTGTGTGAGAGAGTGAGCTAGTGTGCAAGAGAGTGTGAGTGGATGTGAAGGTAGATGACCAAACCCAAGCAGTGCACAGATGTGGAGCAGAAGGTTACTATGCTGTAGACAGACAGCCTGCTACCCCGGTAAGCCACCCTTCAGGGTGCTTCTCCCTAAACCACGGAGAGGTACCACCATTTTGGAAGATCCCAGTTCTTCCCTGGGAGGAGGCAGTGAGAGCAGCTAGGGCCCAGCAACCTGAGCCCAGCAGCATACCTGGCACCATCGGACCAGTGGACACTCTGTGTCAACACAGACCAGTGCACAGTAGTGGAACTCCCAAGGTGCTGGTCGCAGAAGCCCTAACAGCCTGGAGCCCAGCAACATCTCCCACAGTAGCAGCCTGATCAGAGTCCAGATATACCTCCAGCAACAGAGGCTGGGGAGCATTCATCCATCAATAGGCAACAGAAGCACAGACCAGCAGCTGAGACCCATACCCAAAAACTACAGCAGGAGGTGATCAGGAGTTGAGCCCCACAGGGCAGCAGCACTCCCCAGCCACCAGCCGTGGGACCTGGGGCTCCAAGAGGCTTGTGCTGTCCAATAGCTCACAAGGACAGTGGGAAGCCAGAGTTCTAGAGAGACTGGTGCAATCCAGCTGCCTGCCTGCAGGACCTGCAGGATGCAGGGGCACCAGAGAGGCCTGTGCAACCCAGCAGGGACTGCATGATCTAGTTACCCATGGGGCCTATGGGGTGCTGAAGAACCAGAGAGCCTGCGTGACTCGGCAGGGACTGCAGAATCTAGTTACCCATGGGGCATGCAGAAGATCTCCCAGGACCAAACGGGAATTACAACTGAAATAAAGACAAATGCTTGGAAAAAAGCAACAGAAAAGCAGCAGGACAGGACCATATAACCAGGTACACTGGTAGGATCTGAGGAGGCATGAGAAGGGGACAGGCTGGGAGCCCAAAGACAGTTTTAGCTGTGAGCAGCGCCCTTGGGGAATAAAGATCAAGCCCGTTCCACAGTGCAGAGAGCCAGAACAGAACCCTAAAATAGCCACAGCCATGCACCTGGGGGCTAAGGCAGATAGAGGGAAGACTGGGCTGGAACTCTGTGGGGAAACCTGAAATTTGGAGGGCACTCAGAGTTTTTGTTGAGTTGTGGCCACAAAGGATGGTGGTCAGTGTGCTCCTTCCCAAAGCTGTGGGGAAAAGCAGCCCCCAGCCGGAGATTCAGCCTTTCCCAGGTGAGGCAAAGAAATGAAAATTGAGGCTCATTAATAACCATCCTCTATCCCACCCTCTGGAAATTCTCTTATGCAGAACACCAGGGCTACATTCCAAGGCACTGAGTAACTGAGACTACTAGCCACCAAGAAAAAGCTAAAGGATGATAGAACCTTTCCTGAGCTTGCAAATTTAACCAGAAAAGTAAGACTTGACAGGGGTGTTTAACATGGGCCCATCCAGGCATATGCAAACCCAGCAGAGGGAGCCACAAACA